CGGTTATATCTAGCCATTTCGACTGAATAGAAGAAACACTCTATTAAGAAGCGAGAACAATAAAAGAAGAGAATTTAAGAGGACATAAGATAAAGATTGACATTGCATTTACATTTTTGAAGATCGAAGTTGACCGGGAAGCAAGAAACCGGAAGTGAGTTACACAAGCGAGAAGTGCGAGAAAAGAAACTATTAACGCAGTACGCTTCATATCATTTCATTTTATACCGGGGAAACTAGCTTAATAATTTCGAAGAGGTTGCAAACGGATTTCAAGTTTTAATTCAGCTGCAAAACGTGTCCCGTGAATGTCATCTGAAGAGGGAAAATAGACAGATGAGCGATACTTTAGTGTCAGGGCCACTCTGAAAACAGACGGCATGTTGGAAAACTGTCATTATCCATAGATCCAGATCCCTTCAGGATCATTGGTGATTATGGCCCTCCACTGCTTCCTGTTCATTGTAACCCTTAGTAAAGTTTGTCTTTTGGTCATCACTCCAAAAATCTCTTCTGCCATCCGTTTCTACAAGCTAGGTAGGTTAAGCTCCGTTTTCCTCTGTCCCTCTTGCCTTCGATTTTCCTGTGAGTATCAAATTTTCCAAGCCTTCTTTTCTCATTACGTGCCCTAGAAATCTGAAACTCTCTCCTTCTGGTGTTAATTATAAGAGTCCTTCTTGTTTCCATTTTCTCTAAAAGCTCGTCGTTGCGTACATGTTCAATCTATGGTATTCTCAGCATCCTTCTGTGGAACCACATTTCTAATGCTTCAAGTGGCTTTTTCATCAGCGAGGAGATTGTCCAGCATTCCTTGCTATATTGAACGACTGGCATTACATAACAGTTTAAAACTATATTCTTTGTTTCTGTTGCTTCATGTCAGTTCTTCATGTGAGGAGATTGCCCAGCATTCACTGCCATATTGAAGGACAGATATTACATAACAGTTCAGTACTCTTTTCTTTGTTTCTCTTGCTTCAAGTCTCTTCTTCATCTGTGAGGAGATTGTCCAGCATTCACTGCCATATAGGAGGACTGATATTACATAACAGTTCAGTACTCTTTTCTTTGTTTCTCTTGCTTCAAGTCTCTTCTTCATCTGTGAGGAGATTGTCCAGCATTCACTGCCATATAGGAGGACTGATATTACATAACAGTTCAGTACTCTTTTCTTTGTTTCTCTTGCTTCAAAGTCATTTCTTCATCTGTGAGGAGATTGTCCAGCATTCACTGTCATATAGGAGGACTGATATTACATAACAGTTCAGTACTCTTTCTTTGTTTCTCTTGCTTCAAGTATTCATCTGTGAGGAGATTGTCCAGCATTCACTGTCATATAGGAGGACTGATATTACATAACAGTTCAGTACACTTTTCTTTGTTTCTCTTGCTTCAAGTCTCTTCTTCATCTGTGAGGAGATTGTCCAGCATTCACTGCCATATAGGAGGACTGATATTACATAACAGTTCAGTACTCTTTTCTTTGTTTCTCTTGCTTCAAGTCTCTTCTTCATCTGTGAGGGAGATTGTCCAGCATTCACTGTCATATAGGAGGACTGATATTACATTTTCAGTACTCTTTTCTTTTGTTTCTTTTCTCTTGCTTCAAGTCTCTTCTTCATCTGTGAGGAGATTGTCCAGCATTCACTGTCATATAGGAGGACTGATATTACATAACAGTTCAGTACTCTTTTCTTTGTTTCTCTTGCTTCAAGTCTCTTCTTCATCTGTGAGGAGATTGTCCAGCATTCACTGTCATATAGGAGGACTGATATTACATAACAGTTCAGTACTCTTTTCTTTGTTTCTCTTGCTTCAAGTCTCTTCTTCATCTGTGAGGAGATTGTCCAGCATTCACTGTCATATAGGAGGACTGATATTACATAACAGTTCAGTACTCTTTTCTTTTGTTTCTCTTGCTTCAAGTCTCTTCTTCATCTGTGAGGAGATTGTCCAGCATTCACTGTCATATAGGAGGACTGATATTACATAACAGTTCAGTACTCTTTTCTTTGTTTCTCTTGCTTCAAGTCTCTTCTTCATCTGTGAGGAGATTGTCCAGCATTCACTGTCATATAGGAGGACTGATATTACATAACAGTTCAGTACTCTTTTCTTTTGTTTCTCTTGCTTCAAGTCTCTTCTTCATCTGTGAGGAGATTGTCCAGCATTCACTGTCATATAGGAGGACTGATATTACATAACAGTTCAGTACTCTTTTCTTTGTTTCTCTTGCTTCAAGTCTCTTCTTCATCTGTGAGGAGATTGTCCAGCATTCACTGTCATATAGGAGGACTGATATTACATAACAGTTCAGTACTCTTTTCTTTGTTTCTCTTGCTTCAAGTCTCTTCTTCATCTGTGAGGAGATTGTCCAGCATTCACTGTCATATAGGAGGACTGATATTACATAACAGTTCAGTACTCTTTTCTTTGTTTCTCTTGCTTCAAGTCTCTTCTTCATCTGTGAGGAGATTGTCCAGCATTCACTGTCATATAGGAGGACTGATATTACATAACAGTTCAGTACTCTTTTCTTTTGTTTCTCTTGCTTCAAGTCTCTTCTTCATCTGTGAGGAGATTGTCCAGCATTCACTGTCATATAGGAGGACTGATATTACATAACAGTTCAGTACTCTTTTCTTTTGTTTCTCTTGCTTCAAGTCTCTTCTTCATCTGTGAGGAGATTGTCCAGCATTCACTGTCATATAGGAGGACTGTATTACATAACAGTTCAGTACTCTTTTCTTTTTGTTTCTCTTGCTTCAAGTCTTTCTTCATCTGTAGGAGATTGTCCAGCATTCACTGTCATATAGGAGGACTGATATTACATAACAGTTCAGTACTCTTTTTCTTGTTTCTCTTGCTTCAAGTCTTTCATCATCTGTAGATTGTCCAGCATTCACTGTCATATAGGAGGACTGATATTACATAACAGTTCAGTACTCTTTTCTTTGTTTCTCTTTGCTTCAAGTCTCTTCTTTCATCTGTGAGGAGATTGTCCAGCATTCACTGTCATATAGGAGGACTGATTTACATAAAAGTTCAGTACTCTTTTCTTTGTTTCTCTTGCTTCAAGTCTCTTCTTCATCTGTGAGGAGATTGTCCAGCATTCACTGTCATATAGGAGGACTGATATTACATAACAGTTCAGTACTCTTTTCTTTGTTTCTCTTGCTTCAAGTCTCTTCTTCATCTGTGAGGAGATTGTCCAGCATTCACTGCCATATAGGAGGACTGATATTACATAACAGTTCAGTACTCTTTTCTTTGTTTCTCCTTGCTTCAAGTCTCTTCTTCATCTGTGAGGAGATTGTCCAGCATTCACTGCCATATAGGAGGACTGATATTACATAACAGTTCAGTACGCTTTTCATTGTTTCTATTGATTTCAGCTAGGATATTCGGGTGGCGTAATGGATAATGGCTCTGAACTGTTAATCGGAAAACAGAGTTTCAATTCCGGTTGGGTTTGTTATGTCCACTTACGTTCAAATATCCTTAGAAAACGTATGAATCTACCTCCTTTTCACCCGGGGATGATTTAATTAGTTACAATTCTATCGGTAAATCATTATTATCTAGCAAACAAATCTCATTATCTATATGTCTTTTCTGGCTGGGAAGCCGTAGAAACGAACCAATCGATGAATGAAATACCGATTAGCTACACAAGCACATCTTTTAGTTTTATTGACATTCTCTGAAAGAGAAATGTATAAAAAAAAACTACCGAAGTTACAATGTGAGGGATCAGATTATATACTGATTGTAAAATAGAATTGATCCCCCACTTTATAGTTCCTTGTTTCTTTATCAGATTCAAATTTATGAATCCGCCTCGTCTCCCCTCCCTATGGGTTAATTAGTAAGACAGCTATCACTAAATCTTTATCTCGAAAACAAAGTATTTTCTGGCTTTAAATAACCGGCAAATGGTTCATAAGCCGTAGAAGACGAATCAATCAATAAAAAAAAAAGTCATTTGCATATTGGACCGTCTTTTTGAAATTGATATTTATTGGGTATCAACGATCCAAGAATATCCAGATATGATATCAATATTTCGTTTTTTGGTCAAATCTGACTCTTTTAATGACAGCGCGTGAGTGGAAGAATCAGGGACTTTGTGGAACGATAGGAAAAGCCTTTTTTCTATCGTCTTTATCCATGGGTTGTATATATGTGTTCCATTTGAAGTCCAGAATGAATTTTAGATCCAGTAAAGACGCTCAAAAGGTGCAGCCTCGTTGAGAGCGCAACGTTTGCTATATCGCGACTATTACTTAGATGAAACCGCGGAGAGCCTTCATTATCCCGAAGGGATATGGCATATAGAGAAGAGACTCTGGGTGGGTGGGGGTTATATTGAATGTCATCGTGATGACGAAACCCAAGATATTTACACTTCTGACCTATACAACAGAATTTTAGAGCGATGGCTGCTACAACGCTTTCCGTCAACCTGCCCCGCTCTCACAATTTTTTTTTTTTTTGGTTCTCGTGGGTGGGAGGTGGATATGTTCTAGCGATGTTGTCTACCTTCTAAAGGGGAAGTAACCTTTGAACTGCAGTTCATTTACTCTTGTCAAAGAGAAAAGCGATAATGACATAAATTGGTTTCCAGAGAGAGAGAGAGAGAGAGAGAGAAAGAAAGAAAGAGAGACGCTTGGATACTGATGGTTTAGTAAGTATGGGCTGTATTCATTTGGTGCTGCGTGTCCTGGATCGGGGCGGAGCGGGGCGCAGTGGCATGGAACGAACACTGACGTTGGTGGCGGATTTATTTATTTATTTTAATTCGGAAAGACGCGACTATCGAATTTAATCCGACAGCTTATCGCTTTAACCTTTGACCCATGACTTGGCGACCCGGGGGTTCAGTGGAAAGGAATGTTTAAGATGCACAGCTCGGTTACAAGTTTTCGACGACATTTCTACTTTCAATCCGTCCTTTCGTCATATTCTTTTTATTATTTCTTTCTGTCGTTTTTCATTAGTATTTTCCTTATTTCTTCATTTCAACTAATCATTCATTCTTTCTATCTTTCTTTCTTTCTTTTGTTCTTTCTTTCATACCATTTTTCTTTCTTTCTTTCTTTCTTTCTTTCTTCTCTTTCTTTATTTCTTTCTTTTCCCATTTAGAAATTTTTCTTTCTTTCTTTCTTTTGTTCTTTCTTTTCTTCCCTTTTTTTTTCTTTCTTTTTTTTCTTTCTTTCTTTCTTCTCTTTCTTTATTTCTTTCTTTCATCCTATTCTTTCTTTCTATCTTTCTTTCTTTCTTTTGTTCTTTCTTTTCTTCCCTTTTTTCTTTCTTTCTTTCTTTCTTTCTTTCTTTTCTTTTTTCTTTCTTTCTTTTTTTTTTTCTTCTTTCTTTTCTTTCGTTCTTTCTTTCTTTCTTTCTTTCTTTCTTCAATTCTTTCTTTTCTTTCTTTCTTCCTTTCTTTCTTTTTTCTTTTTTCTTTTGTTTCTTTTTGTTCTTTCTTTTCTTTCCTTTTTCATTTCTTTTTTCTTCCTTTCATTCTTTTTTCTTTCTTTTTTTTCATCTTCTTTCTTTCTTTTCTTCTTCTTTTTTTCTTTCTTTTTTTCTTTTTCTTTTTTTTTTCTTTTTTCTTTCCTTTTTTCCCTTCTCTCTTTCTTTTTTCCTTATTCTATTTCTTTTCTTTCTTTCTTTTTTCTTTCTTTTCTTTTTTTTTTTATATCTTTTTTTTTCCTTTCTTTTTCCTTTTTTTCTTTCTTTCTTTCTTTCTTTCTTTTCTTTTCTTTTCTTTTTTCATCTTTTTTTTTTTTTTTTTTCTTTCTTTTTCTTTTTGTTTTCTTTCTTTCTTTCTTTCTTTCTTTCTTTCTTTCTTTCTTTTTTCTTTCTTTCTTTTTTTCTTCCTTTCTTTCTTTTCTTTCTTTTTTTCTTTCTTTATTTTTTATTCTTTCTTTCTTTCTTTTTATTCTTTCCTGTTTTTTCTATATATTTTTCGTCCTTTTTTTCTTATTTTTTTTGCTTTTGTCTTTTTTTTACTCAGGTCTTCATTTCTTTCTTCCTTTTTCTTTCTTTCTTTCTTTCTTTCTTTCTTTCTTTCTTTCTTTCCATTCTATATCTATTTGTCTTTCCTATCGTTTTTCTCTTTCTTATTCTTTCTTCTTTCTTTAATTTTTACTCTTTTTCTTCTTTTAGTCTTCTTTTTTTCATTCTTTTTTCTTTCCATTCTCTTTCTATGCGTATTTCCTATTATTTGTATTTCCTTTCCTTCTTTCATTATTAATTTTTATTTCTTTTTTGTTCATTCGTTCTTCTTTCTTTCTTTCTTTCTTTCTTTCTTTCTTTAATTTCTTTATTTATTATGTGTCACTGTTTGTCTTTCTTTTTTCCTAGTTTGTCTTCATAATTCATTGTTCGTTCTTTTTTTTTTTTTTTATCTTTTTTTTCGACTTTTTTCTTTATTCATTCATTCTTCTTTTTCGTTTACTTTCTTCCCCTTTTTCTTTCATTTTTTTCTTTATTTCTTTCTTTCTTTCTTTTTTCTTTCTCCCTTTTTCTTCCTTTTTTTCTTTCTTTCTTTCTTTCCTTTCTTTTTTTCTTTCTTTTTTCTTTCTTTTCTTTCTTTTTTTCTTTTTTTCTTTCCTTTTTTTTTCTTTTCTTTCTTTTTTCTTTTCTTTCTTTCTTTTTTTTCTTTTTTTTCTTTTTTTCTTTCTTTCTTTTTCTTTTTCTTTCTTTTTTTCTCTTTTCTTTTTTTTTTTCTTTTCTTTCTTTCTTTCTTTTTTCTTTTTTATTCTTTCTTTCTTTCTTTTTTCTTTTCCTTTTTTCTTCTTTTTTTTCTTTTTTTTCCTTCTTTTCCTTTCTTTTCTTTTTTTCTTTCCTTCTTTTCTTTCTTTCTTTCTTTTTCTTCTTTTTTCCCTTTTTTTTTCCTTTTTCTTTCCTTTCTTTCTTTTTTTTTCTTTTTTTTTCTTTCTTTCCTTCTTTCCCCTCTCCTTTCTTCTTCCTTTTTTTTCTTTTTTTTTCTTTCTTTTTTCTTTCTTTCTTTCTTCTTTTCTTTTCTTTCTTTCCTTCTTGCTTTCCTTCCATCTTTTCTTTTTCATTTTAACCCTCCTTTCCTTTTTCCTTCTCTTCTTCCTTTCTTTTTCTTTTTTTCCCTTCTTTTTTTTTTTTTCCTTTTCTTCCTTTTTCTTTTTTCCTTTTTTTTCCTCTTCTTCCTTTTTTCCTTCCTTCTTCCTCCCTTTCCTTCCTTCCTTTTTTCCTTCCTTTCCTTTCTCCTTTCCTTCCTTCCTTTTTCCTTCCTTTCCTTTTCTTTTCTTTTTTTCCTTCCTTTCTTTCCTTCCTTTCTTTTTTTTTTCCTTCCTTCCTTCCTTTCTTCCTTCCTTCTTCACTCCCTTATTTATTTCTTTTTTTTTTCCTTTCTTCCTTTCTTTTTCCTTCCCCTTTCCTTTTCCTTCCTTTCTTCCTTCCTTCCTTCTTCCTTCCCCACCCCTTCCTTTTCTTTTTTTCCTTCTGTCCTTTCTTCCTTCTCCCTACCCCCTCCCTTCTTTTCTTCCTTTCTTTCTTCTTTCTTTCTTTTTTCCTTTCCCTTCCCACCTTTCCTCCGTTTTTTTTCCTTCCTTCCTTTCTTCCTTCCTTCCTTCCTTCCTTCCTTTCCTTCCTTTTCTTCCTTCCTTCCTTCCTTCCTTTTCATTCCTTTTTTCCTTTTCTCCCTTTATTTCCTTTTTTCCTTCTTTCCTTCCTTTATTCCTTCCTTCCTCCTTTTCTTTCCTTTCTTTCTTCCTTCCTTTCTTCCTTCCTCTTATTCTTTCATTTTTTTTTTTTTACCCTCCTTTTTTATTTTTTTTTTTCTTTCTTTTTTTCTTTATTGTTTTTTTCCACCTGGAACAGATATTAGTTATTTAATAATTCTTTGATATGTTTGGCACAAGAGCATTATAAAGGAGTCCTTTGCAAGTCCCGAATTCATAGCACTAAGACTCATATTTTTTTTCGCTGGGGGAATTAGTCCTAACAAGCATGCCACTTACTGTGGATCGAATTTATTAAGTTTATACAAAATACGATAAATTTTATATTTGTATTAATCCTAAACTCCGTGTCTGCTAAAATAATTGGCGGACTTTGTCCACTTCATTAAATTCTTTTGATCATCATTTGTTTTTCTTTGGATACGCATCGAGCAGATATTCATGTTTCGAAAAGAAAATCATGGAAAATTGTTTTTAAAAGCAGTAAAATCGACCTTGCTAACTTTAAACGCTCCTCTGTGGCTCAATCAGTTAAAAAGCACGTCAGGCTATATGACGGTTCCGTATAGGATACAGGTTCGATTCTTGTCGGAGAATGTAGATGTATCTAGGAAAATTTCTCGGACATTCAGTCGGTTAAATATTGTTAATACTGTTTGTTATAAACAGAGCATTTACTTAAATATTTGCATCTATAAAAATAATGTACAAACATAAAAATTTCTTAAATATATATATATATATTTTTTCATTTATTCTTATTTAAAATATATCCTTCAAAACTGTACAAAATTTTCTCAAACTTTCTGAAAATTTCTTTAACTTTTTCCCATTCTTTATTTGAATTATATTATAAAACAATTGAATTATTCTTTTATTCCTCGATTTCCAATTTTCTTTTTTTATTTTTTTTTAAAAAATATTCTAAATTTTTTTCTATTTTGTATATATTTTTTTTTTTAAATAATAACAAAAATACTAAAGAACTTTGGATTATTTTTTTTTCAAGTTCTTTTCTTTTTATAATTTTCATTATCATTACAATTACACACACACACACAACACACACACACACACACACACACACATTTAACATATATATATATATATATATATATATATATATATATATATATATCATTTCATTTGGACATAATGGTTTTCTTTTCTAAAAATACTGGGACTGGAAATGCTTTTAGGAAAAAAATAATCTCAAACTTGGTGAAATAACATGGATTAATACTAAAATCATTTTCAAGGGATAAACTACTTCCTGTCTTTTTTTTTTTTTTTCTTTCTTTTCAACCTATCTTTCTACTTCATATATATATATATATATATTTATATATATTATATAGATATATATTATATATTAAATAGAAATGTGTATTTCGTGTGTTCTTTATTTTTCTTCCAGTTTCAATCTCCCTTCATTCTTGATTTTTTTTTTTGTCTGCTTTCAAAGCATATAACGACATTCTTCGTTCAAATATTGACCAACCCCATTCAAGCTATCCGAAATTGAAACGGAAGCTGACGAAGCGTGTGTTCAAGCTAAGATTTCGAGCCCGGGTTACAAAGTCATTGCTTACGGACCACTACAATAGAAAAAAAAGCGTTACGATTCAGATTTGTGGAGACTTTCTTTCTCTATTGCTTACTTTCTTTCTTTCTTTCTTTCTGTGTCTCTTTCTTTTTGCGCTTTCATTATTATTATTATTATTATTATTATTATTATTGATTGGTTTTTTTTTACAAACCTTTTTATCTTTTATTTTATTTTCTCTTTTCATAAATTTTATCTCAGTTCAAACACAATCTGTTTACGTCCATCTCTTCTTTCTTTTTATATTCTATCTATCTATCTATCTATCTATCTATCTATCTATTAATCTATCTTTCTATTTATCATCTTTTCTATTTATTATTTTCTCCCTTTTTCAAATCTCTCCTTTCTTTCTCTCTCTTTTCTTTTTTCTCTCTCTTTCAATCTCTATATTATATATATATATATATATATATATATATATATATATATATATATATATATTCTGTTACCATATCTGGACTGAAGGTGACAATCAATACCTTTTTCGATGTTCTATTCTAAGATATATATATATATATATATATATAGATAGATATTCTAGATATATAGATAGATAATCTTAGATAGATATATAGAACAAAAAATATAGAAAATATAATATATATAGATATATAGATATATATATATGATATATAGATAGATAGATATTTTTTTTATAGATAGATAGAATGACTCTTCAATCTGTTCATTATGTTTCTGTCTATCTAAATATGTTTCTATTGCATTATCAATCTATCGAGGTTTGTAATATAATGAATACAGACAAATTTTTAATTTTTTAATCAAAAGACAGATAGATAGATAGATAGATAGATAGATAGATAGATAGATAGATAATAGATATATGACCGATTATTAAACAGATTAGATAGATATATATATATATATATATTTAAATAGATATATATATATTGAACGATTTGTAAATAATAATGAACATTGATAATAGATAGATAGATAGATAGATATCGAACCGTTGATAGATAGATAATCAACAGACGTCTATATAAATATGAACCGATTTATAGATAGATAGATAGATATATAACCGATTTATATATATATAATATATATATATATCATATATATAGATAGATAGATAATAGATAGATAATATGATATGAACAGCCTGATAGATAAAAATAATTCAACAGATATAGATAGATAGACAGGTATTGTTTTATCTTTCAATTGTTTAAATATATAGTTGTTTCATATATCAGTTTGTTATTTTTGGTAAGTTATTCCAATATGGTCGAATGTCTTCTTTGAACTGTCATTCTCGAAATATCTGTGATTACCGGCCCCCCACCTTTTTTTATCTCCCCATCATTCTCTCACTCTCTCTCTTTCTCTCTCTCTCTTTCCCATTCTCCCCTTCCCTCTTTCTTGCCATCACTTCGCAATTTCCTTTATGAATCAAAATAATCGCACATATTTCGCCGGCATTGAACAAGACAAGTGGACCGTGCAAAAATTCATTATGCAACCATATGAGATCTGTCTATGGCAAATTCCCCCGTCTTCTAACGAATATTATTTTAAAACTTTTCGTTCTACATTATTCCTTCATCAGCCATATATGTCATTTCATAGTATATATATATATTCCTCCTTTTTTTTTTTTTTGGTCTCATTTCTGGTTGCCTTCTCTCTAAAATTTCTTTCTTTCTTTCTAAAATCACTCACATTGAATATATTTATTTTCATTTTTGGAAACATAACATAATGCACATGTATAAATCGTATAATTTGTATTCTCAAACTTGTGTATATTTGTATACCTTGTTAATCAGGCACATTGAAATATCTTAAAGAGCCGAGTTCGAATTCCAATCGAATCCATATTACATTCACTTACGTGTTATATATATTTTTATTCGGTATAATCTTTCTTCTTTACTCTGTAGATATGGGTAAATAACAAAACAGACTGGGTTCTATAGCCTTGGATGGCAACTGGTCTAGAAAAAGGACAACTCTGAATTCAAAAAAAAATGGAGGGTCGTTTGGGGACCTTGTGGCACGTAGTGCACCAGGTCTCTGTATTCGGCCCTTCAAAAAGTGTGGATGGTCCTGCACGAAAAAAAAACCACTATAATCAAATCACATGTGCTGGTTGCTGGGATGTCGGCTTCCTAGGAACTGAGCTGCTTGACCCTCATACAACGGAAAATACACTATATATATATATATATATATATATATATATATATATATATATATATATATATATATATATATATATAAATATATATATTTATAGATATACATATAGAAATACAAATGTTTTTTTCATACATTTAGACATATAAACATGATATATTGTCAAGTTTTTTGTTGATAAAAATTTAATAAAAATTTTATATGGCTTTTATTCTATCTCTGATATTATATACTTTTTCCCATAAATATCATAAATGATCACCTTAAGAACTATATTTTTTATATATATATATATATATATATATTATTATATAATAATATATATATATATATATGGGTGTGTGTGTGTCTGTGTTTCTTTTTCGCGTTCGTAATAATATATAAAAAAAAAATAACGAATCGTTATATAATAATTCAAAAATCAATTTAGTATTTTTTATTTTTAAAAAACAGTGCTCAATAAAACAAGTACAGGTGTCCATAAAAAAAATGTGCAATTTTAAAACTTTATTTGTATTTGCGATAGAAATAATCTGTAAAAAAATGTTATAAAGTTTAATGTACCTAGTTTTAAGTATAGCTAAAATAACTAATGTGATTTCAGGCATTACTGTAAATCAGTTGGCAAATGTTTTCCGTGAACTGCAAAATCGTATTACCCTTTGTATTGCTAATGATGGAGGACATGTGGAAACTTAAATAAAATTTCAATAAAACCTTTTTAAATATATGTATTTATGTAAAAAATAAATCCTGTTTTGTGTGTTATTTCTATCGCAAAAATATAAAAAAAAGGGAAAAACCGTTAAAAAATAATCCAAAGGTCTTTAGTATTTTTTTGATTTATTTACTTAAAAAACAGTGCTGAATACATAAATATGAGTCTAAATTATAATTATCTTTAAAAAATATGATTCCATCGTTACATAAAATTCCATTCTCCTGTTTCCATAACAGAAGCTAAAAATTTCAATTTAATTATAAAAATTCAAATGTATTAAAGTATCCAGTTCTGTTTCCTTCGAAGAAAATTTTGGTATAACTCATCTTAAAACATTCGTAAATATTAATTACTATGTTTAAAATTGAACATTTTCAATTATTTTAATAAGGGCGTAAATTTAAATATTGTATCAGCATAGTTTGTTTTCCAATTTCTTTAAGTCAAAATTGGGTACTTATGTCTATTTTTTTAAGCGAATGATGACATTCCTTAAGAATTGTTATCGTCTGGTCTATTAAACGACACAAAGTTATTGGCATTAATGTTACGCCGTTAAATTTGTATTTGTATGCCTAAAGATTTCTTTCGGATTGAATACATATATATATATATATATATATATATATATATAATATATTTGCTCAACTTGTCATACAAGGCCTTGGAGCCACTTCTGGTAAAGGGTTTCAGAAAGAGCAAGAGGTACAAAAAAATCCGTTTATGAGAGGAAGATATCAACCGTCTATTTTTTCATTTTTTTTCTCTTTCTTTTTTTGTCTACAACTTTGTCAATGTCTCTCAAGAATATTTTTTTCATTCTGACGAATGCACAGAAATTGCAGAAATCTTGTCTAAAAACTCTGGATATCGGATGCTAAATAGAACATAAATCAGCTACATGACAAATTTTATATTAGTTTGATCCTATATATATATATATATATATATATATATATATATATATATATATATATATAAAATATTAAATCATTGTTTATGTCAACATACCTTACTAACTAACTAAAAACTATATATATATATATATATATATATATATATATATATATATATATAAAAGGCTAATATATAACATTGGAAAGATTTTATAGTTCAATGAAAATAAAACCTCGACGTTTAAAAACACACTATCCATTTTTAAATAAACCATAAATTTAAAAATATATAGATAATAATAATATATTTACCTATTAATCAAAAATACCCATTTTTCTCTCCCAAAAGACAGACATTGCTTAAAACTGCATTTAGGACTTTTCAATATACACTTCCTTGCATACACAAGCATACATCATACTCAATCCCAAACCTAATGAGGCAAATGATAACATAACTGATTTTATGTAATATCCACGCTTACACATCATCATATTCAATCCTTCACATTCATAATATGTGACGTCATTTGTTTACATTTGGATACGCATCGAGCAATAAAAATGTATTTCTGAGAAAAATTATGGAGAATTATAGTTTAAAAACAGTAAATTCGACTTTGCTAATCGAAACGGTCCTCTGTGGCTCAATCGGTAAAAAGCACGTTAGGCTATATGTCGGTTCCGTATAGGATAAGGTTCGATTCCTGTCGGAGTTCGCATATTTTCTATATGACAATTTCTCGGACATTCAGGCCGGTAAATGTCGTTAATACTGTTTATTATAAACAGAGCATTTACTTAAATATTTGCATGTATAAAAAGAACGTATAAAAATAAAACATATACAACAGAGCATTTACTTAAATATTAGCATCTATAAAAAGAATGTATAAAAATAAAAATTTCTTTATATATTTATTTTCAAATTAAAAAATAATCTAATGTTTTATTTTATAAATTTATTTATTTATTTAAATAAATATATAAAATTTTATCAATTTTTTGTTATCTCAATTTTTTTTTACAAAAAGTAACATGTTTTTAACAAATAAATTAAAATTACTGTTTAACCCTTGAAATTCTTTAAAGGAAACAGATATTCAACGCAAATCGTAACTGTTTATGGAACGTCACTGTTTATTTTCTTAACATTTATTTTAACTGTCATAAATATATTTTAATAAATGTTTAAAAAAAAAAAAAAAATTTCTTGGGAAAAAATCATTTTAATTTTTTTTTAATTTTTAACCATTATATATAAGAATTTTTTGTCCCTATTCAACAAAAAATATATAATATAAAAAAATTAATATATTTTTTTTCTCTCATTGTAATAAATTTTAAATTTCATTTTAAACAAATTTTATTTAAAATATTTATTTCTGATTTAAAAAGAAATAAACAGTAAAAAAATATCAAATTAAACGTTCCAACGCAAAAATTAGCGATAAAAAAAAGGAAATTTGTTATATATGAAAAATTTATTTTAATATTTTT